ATGCATAGTACACTTATAATCACTTGTTAGGTCTCTGACCCAAAGTGATCCCACAGAGCACAATGACATTTTAAGGTTACATATTGTGCACATCTTTTCTGATACCTGGCCTCTAACTCCAGAACAAGAGATTCTGCACTGGCTGACACAGCCTACAACCCGATTATATTAGGAAAGGAAATGTTCTTTAAGGACCCTCCTGCATTGGGCTAGGACCTGGTTTAAATGAAGAACTTATCTTTCATATGTTTCTTACAGGATCAAAGCCCCTGAGGAAACACTAGATAAAAAGGACAGGAAGACATCTTGCAATTCTTAAGTAACACCCCAGTAAAATGTTGATAAGTATCATAATTATCCTAGTTCCCTTGACATCAAGAGTAACTCTTGGGTGCATAAACATGTACCCAAATTCATATTCAATGAAGATGCTTTCCTGGCACTGCCGCCTTCTTGCTTGAAAGAGTACGTCTGTATCTACTTTACAATAAATTCTACCTATATTTCTGCATGGTCCATGTTTTTTGACTGAATTTTTCTTATCAAAGTTACGAAGAACAGAGAACCAAGGAAATGAGGGATCTGCATTCAGGGTGACAGGGACACTATCTTCCTTGATGACTGCATGTAAAAGGGATCGTTCCAATTCCTGAGATAGATCATTTCCTGAGTGGTAAAACCAGCAATGGGCTTCTAATATCAAAGGGACAGGGAGAAAATTGATAGTTACAAGTTTTCTAAATAAGTTATCTAAGAAAAGTTAATCTATAGTCAAGTAGAAACCTGTCTAAAGTTTGTCAAGCAGAGAGAAATGTTAAGGCCTTCTTCAACACTATGGAGAACATAGATCTCTGCTCATTTAGTTTGAAAATTAGGGTCTCAAAGAGTCTTTAAAAGTGAAATTTTTAAAATGAAGGAGAGAGTGAGAACGGTGCTTTCAAAAAAAGAGTTTTCTGAGAAATAATTTCTTAGCTTTACAGTTGCCCAGCACTGGCAAAAGCTAACATTTTAAACAAGACCATTTCAGCTTTTAAGGATCTCCACATCTAGTAAGAAACATAAGAACAAATAATGGTAACAGCAAAGGCAAGCGTTATAAGAGACCTTTACTATAAAAGCATTTTGTCAGCACAGATTCTAACAGCTCACATTCATAAATTCTAAGAGCTTTACATTTAATCCTCACAAACTTTGTGAGATACTAGGTTGATACAATTTGATACAAAAACTGAGACACGCAGAGGCCAAATAACTTGCTGAAAACAACTGGCAATTACTAACTCTAGTTATTAGTGGCCGGGTTCCAGGGACTGTGCTCCTACAGCCCAGCCCGGGAGACTGGTGCCAGCTTTATACCGAGATCCTATTTGCTGAACCATGAAAAGTACTCAGGACTTGTAAAGGTGAAACACTAGGGCAGGAGAGGTGGATGCTAGGGACAAATACAACTTCACGCAAGAGCAATCGCCTGATTTCCTGTCGGTCCAACACAGATGGCTGGTGAGTTGGGACCCGGAACGTTGGAAAAGCAGGACCCAAGTGACCTAGCACTGCATTCTCAAGGACGATCACTTTCTCCTTCATGGCTCTGGGCGGAAACGCACGACAGAGGGGCTCCCACAGAAGACACAGCCCAGGGGGCGTCTCCCGTGACAAAGGATCTGATCCCTGGAAGGACACCAAGAGCCCCCTCCCCAAGCTAAAAACAGGAAAAACAGGAAAATGCAACTAGAGCTACCCGGAAAGTGAGCGTTCTTTCCAATCTCCTTTGCATTTTCAAATGCAAAACCAGAGGGCGCGACGTCAAGTTTTAGTTACCACAGCCCGGCCCTAGGGTCGAAAATATAGGAAAGCCAGATTCTCGCCCTCAGGCTCTGGCCTTCAGGTCAAATCCAGAGCTGATGCCATGCTGCCCCGCCAGTCTCCCTGACTCACGCCCAAATTACCCAGGAAGCTGTGGGGCCCTGACCCGATTAGGACCGCGGAGGCGGTGGGTGTGGCCAATCAGCTCTGGGATCACAGCTGTGGTAGCCAATGAGCTCCTTGCGTTTGGCCGCCCCGCCCCGGCCAGATTGAGTTAATTTGTCTCCCTCTGGGGAACGGGATCTATTTTGGGAAATTGAGGCTGCAGCAGACCTCGGCAGCTGGAGATGCAGAGCCTGGGGCTTGGAATACCCCCTCCCAGCCCAGTGGAATTGTGGAGGTGCCGCGCCTGTTTGTCGGTGGGTGGGTCGTGGGCTGAACAAGGCTGGAGGTGGACTGAGCCCATCGCATCCAGCCTCCATAGCTCCCACTTAGGTCCACCGATGAAACCCTGGTCCTTTCCAAGTGATGGCCCACTTTCAGCGAATTGTGTAATGCTCGGCTCCTCTTTCCGCCTGTGAACAACCGCAGTGTCCTCTGAGCTGCCTTTTCCCTTGCCCACTACAGGAAACCTCCCCTGACCCCGTGTTCTGCGTTTACTGGGCTCTGGGTTCCCATAATAACAAGTGCCTTTCTCCTATCGCCGTACTCCCTTATCGTTTTAGCACTTATTTACTTTTCTGTCTTCCCCACTAGGCTGTGATTGGTTCATTTTTAGATCTTTGACAGAGTACTTGGCCTCAGAAGTACTGTAGCGCTATTTCTTCAATGAAACCTTAAGCAGAATCCAGAGATATTAACCCAAAAAAGCAAAACTGTTCTGAAAGGAGTGGGAAGGGAATGTCCAGAGCTCTGGACCCCGGAAGAGCGCCGTTGGGCACCTGTTAGTGACCTCTGAAATACTCAGTTTAACATAGAGAAATATGATTTATCCAGGACGTGAAAACCAAACACATTTAGAGCCTGTTTAAGTCTCACCTTTTCGGGTTTCTGATATAGTTATACATGTTTGTTTTTATTTTTCCAGCCTAAATACCTAGATATCTTCTGCTTGCTTCCTCAGCTCCATCTTCACCCACTTTGCCCAGCTTTGGACAGAGAAGGGTGACCTGCATGGACTGGGTAGGCAGGTTCCCTTACCTCTGGTTTCTATTAGGTTCAGCCAGTGAAGAGCAAAGGCAGATCAGAGAGAAGCAGGACATGAGGCTGGTGTGTACAGTAATCTTCTGGTGCTCTCTCTGTGGGAATAGTGGTAAGCCCATCTGAGTCCTTCTCCCTAAAATCTTAGCTCCTTTTGCATGGCGTTCTCCAAATTCTAGAACCAAACCCTCACCTTATCTCTTCATGAATAGCTGTTCTGATAGGAGAATTCTTCTTTCCCTATACTCCACCAACACCTTTGTAAATAAATAATCATTACTAAATTATTCAAATCATCCTGATTTGGGTATGCCATTTGTTTTCTGGGGATACCTTGATATGAAACCATTTCCCTTTACTAGGCAACAGAACAGTTCTCTCAAATGGTAAATTTAGAGGCCATGTGGTACAGTAGAAGAACACGGGCTCTGGAAATAAACAAAACTGGGTTTCCTGTTATTCACTGATTCATTCATTTGATGAGTATCTGGCATGCCATGCAGCTTATTCTCTAAATCCCCTCTTATCCCACAGGTACGGGGCCTGTAACCAATACCACAAAATACCTGTCCGCCTCCTATCACCATAGGTGACACAGCCAAGCAAGCTGCCTCAATTAGGACATCTTTTCTAGGGATTGGAATTGGTATGCAGTGGATATGGCCGTTTTTAATTAGAATAGGCAGAGACTCAGCTGTGAAGCACTTGTCTTCTTGCCATGTCCATGAAGAGGCAGAAAAAGTTGACATGCAGAGAAAATAGGTTGGAGAGAGAGAATAGAGGGAAGCAGAGATGTTTTTTTTTAAAAATGTCCACAGAGAAAAAGCCTGAGATAATGGCTGCCCTAATTTTGTCAGCCTTAGAGACCCAACAGCATTCTTGTTCTTAAATTCTGTGAAGTAAACTTACATCCTTATAATAACTCCATTTTTTGCTTAAAGCTATCTTAAATGGATTTCTGTTTCTTGCAACCAAAGTCTTTAGATAATGTCCCAGTAGAAGGACTGATTAAGAAAGTGTTTCAAGCATCTCCATTCACACCTCCGGAAACATTGTGTACCACCACCCCACCTCAACTGTTACCAGGGCCTCATGGGCCCAGAGCAGCACTTGGCCCTTCTTTTTATTCAAAATAACAAGCCCATTTTGCTGTCAGGTTTGTTGTTGTTGTCCTCGAAGTTGTTGTTGCTGCTGCTGCTGCTGCTGCTGCTGGTGGAGGCTTGGTTTGGTTTGGTTTGGTTTTTGCAGCTTTTTCTGGGTTCCAGCTCTTCATCTTCCAGGTGCTGTCTTATTTTTGTGAGTTTCGTTGGTTTTATTCCTCAAAGGATTAAGTTAATCATACTCCAGTTCATTGCACACCATCACCAGTGCCTACAAAGACACTCGTTTTATTTATTTACATCCTTCTTCGCCTTAAGGTAGGCAGTTTTGTAGTGTGATTAATGCGTATATTGCTTACGTGTTTTCTCAATATAGTTATTGTCTTGCAGGCCTGTATTTTTAAATGTACTCCAAAGCTACTAGTTCTGTATCACATTCTATGTCTTAGTTTTGTTTTTTCACTAAGCACAGTTTTTTCAGCTTCATCTGCTTTGCCAGGTGTTACCATTTATAATCAGTTTTTTCACATTAATGCCCAGTAGGAATTACATTGTACCCATTCACTCTTCCAATGATTAAACTCTTGTTGTCTTCAACTCTCCCCACTATTTTGTAACCCTGCACTGGATATCCTTATTTTAGTCCCCTTCTTGGGAATTTCTGGACTACCTAAATGTACATATACATGGACCTAGGTAATGCCAGACTGCTTTCCAAAAGTGGAAGTGTAGCTGTGTAAGTCACTGTATTTCTGCATGTTGACAACACTTGCAATTTTCTAGACTTCCAATTTTTGCTGGCTTCATGGGTATGCAGTGATGTCTTATTGTTGGCTAATTTGCATTTTATTACTAATGGTTTTAATCAAATTTCCATATGTTTATTAGCTTTTTCCCCCCAGGGTAAATTGCCTGTTTATGGCTTTTGTTTCTTTTTTACTACTTGGTTTCTGTATTATTCCTGTTCATTTGTAGGAGTTGTTTGTATATTCCACAAGTATAGCATTATCTTGGCAGTTTAGCGAAAGCAAATATTTTCTCCATTCTTCCATCTGTACTAAGTTTGTCCATGATGCCCTTTATGGAAAATAAGTCCATAAATTCATTGTCATCAGACTCCTCAGTGATTGCCTTATGCTCCTTTTGAAAGCATTGAAATATAAGTACCTCTCTCTTGGTTATGCCTGACATGTCTAAATCTGAGTTCATTGATAACATCCCATTGGCCGTTCCATTCACTTCTCTTTACTGGACTCCAAAGTAATTTTACTGACTAAATTTCACCTTCTTTGAAACTTTCCCACGTAGTTTCAAGGTATAAAAATCATACATTTCAACTATTTGCTGTCAGGTTTCTTATACCCTTGGACACACATATTACTTTGTCTCCTTTACTATCAGGAATTCA